CTCAGTAGAGCTGTTTCATTTTCTTCTCCATCAGGAATGTTTGTGAGAAGTGATTAGACAGGAAAAACATTAGCTTCTCCCTGTTTAAAAAAATACTTTCAAAAGTCTTAGAAATCCAGATAGATTTGTGGGTTTTTTTTTTTCTTATGCTGTTTTAACTTTCTGCTAAGTATGTACATTAATAGTTTTTCTTTTGGAAATAAGCAAACTCAAGAAATTTATCAAGCTGTGTACTGTCAGTGTATTGAAAACTAAAAATTAATATAAGAAAGCAAAATTACTAAATAAATATAGAGTTACATAAACTGTGGATTTGAAGCAAATAAAAATTTTGCAAAACAACAACATTTGAGAATTTACACTGACAAACATCAAGACTTACTACAAAGTTTTGGTGAGATAATGATGTGCTGGTAGATATCACCTACATGTTATCAGCTCATGAAAACCAAATTTTGAATTTTTACAAGTTTTACAGAGTGACTGTTGTATTGGTTATTTGAAGTTGTGTTTTTGAAAGTATTTTTAAAACAATTAGCAAACCACTAATCAGGAATGAATTACTTCCCAACCACAAGAAGACTACTAGTGTCAAACAGGGCCATGCCATCTTAGAGAAGCTGTCCATGTTGTGGCACCCCTACTGTTTGGTAGGACTGTTGTGTCTCCCACAGCTCCATCTCACTTTTAAAAGTTCAAGAGTGTGTATCCCACAACATGGGAGCCAGGGCCAATGTTTAGAACCTCTATGCAAATGTCTGAAACAAGTAAATCTGTTTTCTCCCTTTCCTCGAGGAGGTAGGTAAAAAACCTGAGAGCTGCAGCCAAGGTAGCCCCCCTGCACATATGAAAGGCCAAAGTCTGCACTGATTTGAATCATCTCAGTAAGTGTTGCCCTTATTTTGGAGGCTATTAAAGCCTTTTCACATCATTTATTTGTATTTTCAAAGGTCAAATATGGAAAAATTAACATAATGGATGACTCTTTTATGAAAGGTAGAAATCAGAGCCTGTGGTTTAGCAAAACTTCCCTGAACTTGGAATGTGGGAATTGCACCTTCTAGATCAGTTAAGGTCATTAGGGTGGGTGTTGTTCTGTCATCTTTTTCCCACTAGACTTGATTTTAAAATGATACTCTGAGCCAAATCCTTTATAATTGTCCTAACAAACTTACAATCATTGAAACACTCCTTAATAGAAATCCACAGAAATAAAATAAATACATAAATTAAGAATATGACAAACAGTTTCATACACATTTGGGGTTCTTGAGAACCTGTTTGCCCCATGTTTAACAATTGATAAAATCAATATATTTCTTTTTCTCTTGTTTCTTGTAGACCTACTTATTTTTGGATTTCTCCTAAGCTTATTTATATCTTTGGCTTCTCTTAAGCCTATTTCTCTTTTTGGCTTCTTTTCAACGTATATCACTCTTTGACCACAGTGAACTCATTTTTTGATCCAAGTTTAACACCTGATGATTTTACTGTCCATTCATTCCATGATGAATACTACCCACTACCAATGCACTTCTCACTTTTGCATGCACAGTGATGTTTCCCTACACTCATAAGCCCATGCTTCAGTTGCTAATTGCTGCTTACCAGAAGAGCACTCAATATTCCCAGGGGGAAAGACAGTGAAAGGTTGGGAAAATAAAGAAAAGACATGGAAGTTGAGGTCAGGTGGAGTCCTCTCTCTTGATAGGAACCAAGAAATGCGCATTTATTTCTACATTCAGAAAGATAATATAAATGTCAGTTTCTCTGCCTAGCATCTTGTTCACCAGGCTGGCCTGGGCCCTTGCCTTCTCACAGTTGTAAAAACATTTTATGTAGCTTTCTATGTTCACTACCTGTTATCATGGCTGGTCTGATTTTTAACTCCACATGTGTGATGAATCTCCATCCTCAATCACTCTCTGCACAAAACTATTGTGTTATGATTTGTTGTTTCTTTGGCTTTTTTAGACTAATAGTCTGTGGCTGCTGTAATGCATTTTGCCAAAAGAGTTTAGCGTGGTGAGTCTGGGTCTCTCTTAACAATTAAAAATTTTAATGGAATACCTGTTACAAAACTACAATCTGAAATCTTGTCCTGGAAATAGCCAAAAGTTAAATGAAAACCTGAATATGCTGCCCAATTTTTCCTTTGTCTCCAAATGAACATAATCTAGAAAAATTAAATTGTTTAAAAATGATAATTTTGCATTTATAGTTTTCCTCCTTGCAGGTAGTTTTTATGACGCACATTTTGAAGGGCACATTGACAGTGTTAGAAACAGCTGTTTCCTTTTCAATCATTATTTTTCATAAAACAGTTCATTAAACTTTCAAACATTACTGTGAATGGGAACCTCCTGAGGGGGTGTTAGTAAGACAGTGGGATTGCTGAGATGTACACTGATGTTTTGCATTCCATAAATGTGAAGTGAGGAATTCATTAGGGGATGATCATCTGCCCTTTATAGTTGGAAAGTTCACCACCATATTACAGAAGATAACTTACCCAAGGACAGGATAGAGAGAAATAAAAAAAGAATAAATCAATTTATAAACCTAAAGTTAATTTAGAAGTTATCTGAAAATGTAGACTAAAATATACACAGTATCAACAAAGAAATCATATTTATACTAACAAATTGTAAGTACTACAAATTTGTTTAAGAATTTGTGGTTCACGTTGACAAGAAAGTCACAAAGTTTCATATTTCCTGCTTACAAAAGATGTGTTAAAATGTAAACAAATATAAAAAACTCAAAGACACAACACAGAAGTAACTAGAAAGGCATTACTATGCATACTCCAGTCAGAATACATCTATTATAGTTGTTTAAATTTCTGAAAATTTCAATAAAAATCATAATTCCAAACAAAAACTAAGAAAAATATATGACCCATTCAGACTAGTATGGTGGTTCAAATTATAACAAAGAAATACCAAATATGATTTCAAATATCACAACAATTTTAGGTCACTTACCTTTAAATAGCAAAGGAGAAAAAGATTACCATATGTGTTCAGGATCTTAAGGAGTAGGAATTTAACTTTGAAGGTATAATAAGAGAAGTAGTACAAATAGAAAATGCATGTCCATGAATCAAGGCTTCCAACAATCCTGCCTGAAGGAAATTATAATTTCTGGGTAGCAATAGAATCTTTCAAAGTTAAATAAATACATCTAATTTATGAGATCCATATATAAGACCAGTTATAAAGTATATACTCTAAGCATATAGTCTTTTATACTTTTAATGAATATTTTTAATTAGCCCATATGTGTAGCACATAAAGTCCACCTTCCTCGTGTGGAGTTTGAACATGTGTGTAGCATATTTCAGTTACTTTCTTTCAAGGTCCATGCCTTTCTCTCTTCCCTCATTCTTCCATTGTTTTGTCTCCTTTTAGTTTGACAAATGTCAGTCTCACTACATTCTACTATCTGTTTTTCATTTTGCTACTTACTTTTATCTGTGTTTCTCATACAAGGGGAAACATATAGGAATGTCAACTAGTGCAACATTATGAAACTAAGTATGGAGAGTCTTAAAATATGAAATGAGAATGCAAGCTCTGAGACTGGGATATAGGTCAATACAGATTTTTTTCAAGTGTGTGGGAGACACAGCACTTATTCTACATAAGGATATAAAACTTTAAAAATATGTGTTTTACCAGTCACATTGCAAGTATCAAAAAGATATGAACATCCTCAAGTTTAATAATAAGAATCAAAATGTAGAAGAATTAAAAATTATAAAAGGAAATCAAACTTTTATTTTTCTTGAAATTTCAGCTATTACATTAGCTAAAGGTAACAGTGTGTCATTGGCTGAGAGACTAGTTTTACACAAAACTGTGAGTAAGAGGAAGAGGGTCGGGTTTTTTGGTATGAGCATGTTGACAAATTTTAGTCTTGCCTTTATTTTATTTTTATACTTTAAAGTATAAAATGAAAATGTTTAAATTTTACAATGTTGAGTTTTTTACATACCTGTTTTCTATGCTGCTTCTCTCTAATAATCCATTACATTTTCATGATTTCTTCTCACGTAGTGGAGTTTCCTAGACTTTAGGGGTTGCTGATGCAGAAATTTGATGGAGCAAAGGTTTATGTAATCTCATTGCAAGTCTCAGAGACAGGATATTTATCTAGTTACAGCAAAATTGTGTTTAAGTATTATTTTTCTTGGTCTTAAAAATTTCTGACTTAAAAGAGCGTCAGATTTGTGAACAGATCAGAGTTGTAATTTAAATAATTAAGTGATGTGTTAATATATACAGTGATCTTCCATATTGATGCCAAATACCATTTACAAATTTCATAATGAATGTTAACTTATTCTGTGTTTTTCAAGAAATTTCCTCTATGGGGCCTGGGGATTTATCTTAGTGGCATAAGTTTGTGTCTGGCAAGCATGAGGTCATGAGTTTGATTCCCCATACTAATACCAAAAATTTTTCTCTATATACATGCAGATGTAAAAGGCCTGTGTAAAGCCAAAGTTAATAAAAATACATCAACTATAAATTATAAGATTTTATAGGAGCTTATGTTTTCAAAGACAGAAGTAGTTTGCAGATTTCTTATTCTTATGATTTCACATTTCTCAGCCAATTGCATAAAAATGGGTCAATAACTGTGTGTGTAAATCAGCCATACTTTTAACAGTTTCTAAATCTAAGAAAAAATCAAGAGAGAATCTGCTTCCTAATTTATGCGTGAAAGTTTGGTCAATGGTTCTCACATAAAAAATTGTGAAGCAACATTTCCTTCAATCTTATAAGGTAACTAAATGACTTCATGAGAAATTCATTGAAACTAATAGCCTTCAAAAATGAAACTTCCAATATGATGACATTCACACTTATGTTCTAATTATGTGAATGTGTGAAAAGAGTAGAATCATGCAGTTCATAAGTGGCATTGGATGTCATTGGAAGATTTTCATTGACTGGGTATTTTCCCTAAAGACTTGTATGATCTTTATGCAGGCTTATGCCCAACAACTACCAGTCCTACCTGGCCTTCACTTTTGCCATAGAGGAGATCAACAGGAATCCTCAGCTTTTACCCAACATTTCTCTGGGCTATGAGTTCCATAATTTCCTTTATAGTCATTGGAAGATACTAGAGAATTCCTTCATCTTGCTCACTGGACAATATAAGATTCCTAATTACACATGTAGGAGAGAAAGCAAGTGTGCAGCAGTATTGATGGAAATGTCATGGGGAACCTCAGCAGAGATTGGACCACTGCTAGAACTCTACAGGTTTCCACAGGTGAGGATTGGACATATAAGAAATGATGGAAGCATATCCATCCCTGGTATTTCAACTACTAGGTGTATACAAGGTTAAAAATCAGGCTCAGATTAGCACCATTCAAAGTGACACAAGATCATGTATATAGTTACTTATAGAGTTACCCACATTTTACTTTTCTTCATTGGATAAAGAAAGCAATGATACTCCCTGGAGTCTCAGTCCATTATTTTAAAATTTATAAAAGTATTTCAGGAGTGAGATAATAGAAATAAAAATCAATACATTTGTCTCTTTGTACAATTGCCAATTGTTACTTTGTATGGTTCAGTTCACCTACTGTGATTTCCCTTGAAATTCTTCAGAATTTTCTTTCAATTTTCATTTCGTTTTAGGTTACCTTTGGAGATTATGATCCTACACTGACTGACAGGGGCCAGTATCATTCTCTCCATCAGGTGGCCCCAAAGGACACGTACTTGGCCCTTGGCATAGTGACCTTGATGTTTCACTTCCACTGGACCTGGGTGGGCCTGATCATCACAGCAGACCATAAGGGTCTTCAGTTTCTCTCGGATGTGCGAGCTGAGATAGACAGGCATGGAATCTGTGTAGCTTTTGTGAAAATGGTCTCAACTGTGACTGTGTCATATCTCTCAGTCATACAGAAACATGATATTTTTACTGCAGATACATCATCAGTCAATGTAGTGGTTATTTACTATGATAATGATAATCGAAATGATTTACACTACAACATAGTACAAAGCTCAGTGACTTGGAAAGTCTGGGTGACAAACTCACAATGGCATGCCGACCTGAGTGGGAGGAATTTTGTACTTGACACATTCCATGGGGTTCTTGGTTTTTCACACCACCATGAAGAGATTTCAGGTTTCAAAAATTTTGTCAAGGAAGCCACTCCTTTCAAATATCCAGAAGACTCTTATCTCTTTATGTATTGGTACAAGAATTTCCACTGCTCCTTCTCTGAACCTGACTGTGCATTAGAGAACTGTACACTTAATGCCTCTGTGGCTTGGTTGCCTCCAAATAGTTTTGACACAGCCATGAGTGATGGGAGCTACAATATATACAATGGTGTGTATGCTGTTGCCCATGCCCTCCATGCGATGCTTTTTGAAGATGTACAAAGGCCACCAGTGAAAAATAGAAATGTGATGATGTTTCCCCACTGGGAGGTAAAGTGTCTTTCGTTGGATGGCATACAATGTCATTAAGGTGCCTCTTCCAAGTTTTTCTACATGTTTAACCCAATAATATTAGAATAATTTCTACAAATAGAAGACATTCTATGTCACGCTTACTGTTAAGGAGATAATTCTTGAACTCAGAATAATTATTTCAGATAATTATTGAAATGATCCTCAATAAAAGAGCCATTGCCAAAGAGGAGAAAACAGGAAGTAGGCTCATTGCTTTTGTCTTATAGGATATCAGCTCCATGCCCAAACATATCCAAACATATCCCATGACATGCATAAACTACAATAGGATAACCTGTCATCATTTATAAAATTAAATTGCATTAAAGTATACAATGTACATATTGTAGGTATTTTATACTTAATTCTGCCAACTCTTCAATATTGGTGAACATTTTCACCAATATTGTTATGGGAATAGTTTCATCAATATTGTTATGGGAATGTTATGGGAATAGTCAGTGTTTGTGAAGCTGTGTTTGTTAGAAGTTTTGGCTCCATATTCTAGTATTTTGCCTAACACAACTGTACTTTTTATTTAAATGGGGTTGAATAGAATATCTGTTCGGAAACTGACTGACTTTTATGGAACATGGTGACATTTTAGTCCTTAAGTATTGATGTGTTCTAATTCGATAGATATAAGTATTCAATTTGCCTCATGTTAAAGAAATTTAAGAGACTTTAGGAAATTCTCTTATCTGTATTTTTCTGTCTTTATCCTGGATTTTTGTTCAAACTGAATGATGTGTCTCTTTTAGCTGCATCCCTTTCTGAAAAACATCCAATTTAGCAATCCTTCTGGAGAGCAAGTGATCTTGAATGATAGAAGAAAACTGGATTCAGAATACGATATTCTCAATTTTTGGAATTTTCCAGAAGGCCTCAGACTTAAGGTTAAAGTAGGAACATTTTCTCCACTTGCACCAAATGGTCAAAAAATGACTTTATCTGAGAATATGATAGAGTGGACCACAGGAATTACAGAGGTGTGTTGGATCAAATCATGACCCAATTCCCTAACCATGCATAAAATATATAATCATCAGAGTGGTGCCTTAAGCGTTGCTCATGAAATGGAAAAATTTTGCTCATGTGGAAATTGAAAAACACAATTTTCATTTTGAAATAATAGTATTTACCAGCTTTACGATGAGTAAGATAAACATGCATTTATTTAACTATATTTTTGTACATATGTTTCATCTTATAAAAAAATTTGGCATTCAATTAAGTAGATTTATTTATGTGTGTATGAAAATTAAGTTTATACATGTAGATCTGCAGCAGTAAGTAAAAGCATAAGAACTAACCACTCTATAATGTTTTTAGACTCCCCGCTCAGTGTGCAGTGAGAGTTGCATTCCTGGATTTAGAAAAAGCCCTCAGGAGGGAAAGGCTCCCTGTTGTTTTGATTGCACCCCTTGTGCAGGCAACGAGATCACCAATGACACAGGTAAGAGCATGACCTGCGGACACTTTGTCATTCTATTTTGTATTCACTCTATCCATCCACAAAGTGGAAAATTTTGCAGAGAACATCAATGAATTTTTTTCCTTCACTTATCAAATTATTTGTTACATTGAGTGCTATTATCTGGATGGAATACGCACTTTTCCCCTTGAACTGCAGTGCAATTTATTTTCCTTTAATCCAGTCTTAATTAGAATTAGATATTTTATTTGACATCTCATTTATGTCACTCAGAGAGAAAATTTTGAAAATTGATTTGTCCCACTTTAAAATCATTAAATATGTAGTTATATATCCATTAATCATTTTGATAGACACCAGAACTAAACTTTTTATTTTTTCTTTCATAAAAAATTATTTATTTAACAGTAAAAAAATACATAGAAAAGAAAAACAAAAAGAAAAGAGACAAGCAAGAAACAAAATTCTCCCCCCAAATACGAAGTTTTCAAAACAAGATGATGGGAATTTAACAATGGTTGAAAATTCATATAGTTAGCTTCAAAAGGGTTGCTTAGATTACCAGATTACCAAATATAGACATACAAAATTGATTTAATCATATGAGTAATAACTGTCCTTTCCCAAGTACTAATAGAATCTTAGTTATCTTATGTATACACATATACAAATTTATGTCTTTTTCATGTTCCCTACCTTCTTTCCTTCATTCCTCTATCCAAGTGACTTTTCACCTTTGAGCAGTTTCTTACTTTTACACAATATTAATTGTAGATTTGGAATCTTATTTGCTCTTTCAGTTTCTTATACTGGGGGACAATATGATATTTCCATATGTGAGTTTGATTTATTTTAATTATGAGTATTTTCTTAAGCATCCATTTACTTATAAAATCCTTAATGCAATCTTTCTTTATAGCTGAGTAGTACTCCATTGCATAAAAACACCACAACTTTTTTACCCATTCCTCATTTGAAGGGCATTTGGGTTGTTTCCAAGATTTGTCTATTACAAATTATACTGCTATAAACATGGATGCACATATCTCACTGTAGTATGATGTTTTAAGTTCTTCTGAAAAATTCCAGAAGCAGGATAGCCAGGTTAAATGGAACTCTAACCATAGATTTTTGAGAAAACTCCACACTGATTTCCACAGTGATGGTACCAGCATACACTCCCATCAACAGTGGAGAAGGGTGTTTTTCCCCATAGCTTCACCACCATTTGTTATTGGTTGATTTCTTGATTTTGGCCATTCTTTCTGGAGTGAGATGGAATCTCAGTGTAGTTTTAATCTGCATTTCTCAAATGATCAATGATGATGAACATTTTTTCATATATTTATTTGCCATTTCTATTTTTTCATCTGAGAAGTGTGTATTCATCCCAGAAGCTCATTTTTGGATTGTGTCTTTGAATTTTGGGTGCTTGATTTTTAATTTTTTTTAAATTTTATTTAAGAGGAAAAAGAGAAAAACACAAAACAAAACAAAGCAGTGTAAGGGTACACATAATACAGAACTACAAAAAAAAAAAACATAACAGTAAGAAATCACCTGTAAATAGATTACATATTATCATCTTGGAAATAGTTGCTCAAATAGTAAAATTAAACAGAACAAAATAGATCATAAGAAAACAATGTAAAAGACACATATTTCAGAGCAAGACAATAGGAGAGCTTCCCTGTCTCACATATTGTCTCTTGTTTTCTTCCAAATAGTTTTCCATATCTTCACATACAAAGAATTCATACAAAACAAAATAATATAAAACTGATAAGAACAGGATGCTGTTGAAGACCAGACAATAGGGAAGTCAACAGTGATTCTCATAGAGTCTCTCATTGTCTTCAAAATAGCTGTCCATACTTTCATGTATGCTGAAATTAAACAAAACAAAACAGACTAGAATCACTCTGAACAAATAATAGTATTGCTGAATTTCATATCATGATGCTACAGAATCAGCACTGGGAACCTTAGTGTCTCTTTTTCTTCAAAGTAGTTATTCATTACATCATACATTATATAATCAATCCTCATAAAGTTTTTAGAAGTTTTAGGTATGCATGAGTCTCTACATGTATACCTATCCTTTCCTGTATAAGAGGGAAAAACAAGACAAGACAAAACAAAACAAATTCCTAGAAAAACACAAAATGAAAAACACATAAACAACAAAAGCAAAGAGCCCAGAACACTGATAATATAGGCCTTCAAAATAAGGTGGTATGAGCATAACTAGAGTTGTTATTTTTCATAATGATGTTCGAGTTCCTCAGATCACCATACAAATATTATGCACAACTGTTCATCCTATGAGTGTTAACTATTTTGTTCCAAGAACTTATAAAGTTTGTAGCACAATCATCTTAGATAACCTGTGTATTTATATAGTTTTAAATATTTTTTCTTTTTCCTCATTTTCCCTGAGATATTATTTTCCCCTTTTAAGCATTTTCTTATCTTTTCACTATAATTATTGAGCTTTATATATCTTATGTACACTTACCATTATTTACACTAGGGAAACTATATGGAATTTACGCATATGACTTTGATTTATTGTACTTAGGAGTATGGTCTCAAGTTGCATCTATTCACTTTATAGCAGAGTAGTACTCCATTGTATAAAAATACCACATCCTTTTTATCCATTCCTCAGTTTATGTGCATTTAGGTTGTTTCAAAGATCTGGCTATTCCAAATTGTGCTGCTATAGACATGGGTGCACATATATTGATGTGGTATGATGTTTTCAGTTCTTTTGGGAACTATGTCCAGAAGTGGAACAGCTGGGTCAGATGGGATCTCCAACCCCCACTTTTTGAGGAATCTCCAGACTGTCCTCCACACTGGTTGCACCAGTCTGCACTCCCTCCATCAGTGCAGAATTGTTCCTTTTCCCCCCCACAGCCTCTCTAACCTTTGTTGTTGGTCGTTTTCTTTATACCAGCCATTCTTTCTGGAGCTAGATGGAAATTCAGGGCTCTTTTAGTTTGCATTTCTGTGATGACCGTGATGCTGAACATTTTTTCATGTATTTATTTTGCATTTGTATTTCTTCATCTGAGAATTGAGTATTTATCTCAAATGCCCATTTTTGGAATGCGTCTTTGAATTTTGGGGATCAGATTTTTAAAATTCTTTATATGTTTTAGACAGAAGTCTTTTGTCTGATGGACCATTTACTAAGATTTATTTCCAACCTTGTGGGTTTTCTCTTCACTATGCTGGAGATTTCTTTCAACATGCAAAAACTCTTTAAAAGGACATGATCCAAGTTATTGATTCTTTGAAGTATTTCATGTGTAGTTTGATTTATTTTCATGAATTCTCTACCTACCCCTATATCTTCAGATTCTTCCTGCTTTGTCTTCCAACAAATTTAGTGTTTCTGTTTTAGTATTTAAACCTTTGATCCACTTGTACTTTAGTTTAGTGCTTGGTGGTACAGTTTTAGTTTTTGGCATATGGAGAGCCAATTTTTCCAGTACCACTTATTAAAGAGACTATCTTTCTTCCAGTGGAAGATTTTGGCCCCTTTATCAAAGATAAGGTGGCTGACTGTGTTTGTAGTTGTAGTTGCATCTTCTAATCTATGATCTTCTAGTCTGTTTTTATTCCAGTACCATGCTGTTTTTATTACAATTCCTGTGTAGTGCAACATCAAGGCAGGGATTGTGATGTCTCCTGCCATGCCTTTGTTGCTTAGAATTACTTTTGCTGTTCTATATCTCTTGTGGTTCCAGATCAATTTAAGGAGTGATTTCTCTAGATCTGTGGGGTATGCTACTGGCATTTTGATTGGGATTGCACAATGTTTGTCCTTCCTATCCATGAACAGGGGAAGGCTTTCCATGTCCTAAGGTCCTTTTGATTTCTTTTTCAACATATTATAATTTTCCCTGAAGAGATCTTTTGCTTCCTTTGTTAGACTGATTCCTAAATATTTCATTTTCTTGGATGTTATAAGTTGTGTGGCTTCTCTTATGTATCTCTGATTGGTTTTGTTGTTAGTGAAAAAGAATGCTATTGATTTTTGAGTGTTGACTTTTATCCAGCTATGTTACTGAATTTATTTATTATATCTAGGATTTTTTCAAAGGAATTTTTGCAGTCTTCTATGTAGAGTATCATGTAATCTGCAAATAATGATAATTTAACATCTTTTTTCCCTATCCTTACACCTTTTATTTCTCTCTCGTTTAATTGTTCCAGCACTATACTGAATGAGAATGGTGATAATGGATATCCTTGTCTTGTTCCTGATTTTAGAGTAAACACTTTCATTTTCTGGCCAATTAATATGATGCTGGCTGTTGGTCTGCCACAGATGAGTCTTATCTTAATGAGGTAAAGAACATCTATTCTAATTTTCTGTAAGGTTTTTATCATAAGTGTTAGACCTTATGAAAAGCTTTTTCTGCATCTATGGAAATGATCATGTGGTTCTTATTGTTGGTTCTCTTGATACAGTGGATTAGATTTATTGATTTCCTTACATTGAACCATTCCTGCATTCCTGGGATGAATCCCTATTTGGTGATTGTGTATCATCTGCTTGGTGATTCCCTGCATTCTGTTTGCCAAAATTCTATTGTGAATTTTTGCATCTATGTTCATTAAGGAGATTGGCCTGTAGTTCTCTTTTTTGGCTGGGTATTTATCAGGTTTTGGTATTAAAGTAATGTTTGCTTCCAGGAATGAGGTAGGGAGAATTGTTTCCCCCTTCAAATTCTTTGAAGAGTTTAAGGAGTTTGGGCATTAAATCTTCATTGAATTTCTTGTAGAATTACACAGTGACTCAATCTGGACCTGGGCTCTACTTTGTTGGTAAGGATTTAATTATATTTTCAATTTCATTAATTGAAATTGGGCAATTCAACAGTTTTATAAATTCTTGACCCAACATTGTTAACTCATATGTTTCTATTAATCTGTCCATGTCTTCTGTGTTATCAAACCTATGAGAGTAGAGGTTTTCAAAATAATTATTGAAAATATTTTGTATTTTCACAGTGTCTGTAGTGATTTTCCTCTTTTCATTCCTTATTGTATGAATTTGAGTATTTTTCCTATTTTTAATAAAGTTGGCTAGAGACCTGTCAATTTTATTCATTCTTTCAAAGGACCAAAGGACTTTGATTTATTGATTCCTCATATTGTTTCATTAATCTCTATTGCATTGATTTCTGCTCTGACCTTCATAATTTCCTCCCTTCTTTTGGCTTTGGGCTTGATTTGATCTTTTTATTCCTAGATGTTTGAGGTGTAGCATAAGATTGTTTATTTGTGTGCATTTTATTTTCCTGATGTGGGTGTTCACTGCAATAAATTTTCCTCTGAGGTCTTCTTTCACTGTTCCAGTAAAGCTGCTTCCCACATGTTCCAGTAAAATGTATTTGTAATTTCATTTGCCTGTAAATGTTTTTTTAGTTTCATATTTAATTTCTTCTGTAACTCATTGATTGATCAGGATTGTATTATTCAATTTCCATGTTTTTTTGTCATTATGTTCTAATATCAGGGGCTATGATCCAATAACATGCATGGGATAATTTCAGTACTTTTGCATTTACTTAAGTATGTTGTATCTGCTAGCATGTGATATATTTTAGAGAACGTCCTATGTGTTCCTGAGAAGAATGTATATTCTGATGTTATTGGATGGAACACTCTGTATACGCTTAATAAGTTCATTTGTTCACAGATATGATTCACTTCTGTTATTTCTTTGCTGATTTTCTGCCTAGTTGACCTGTCCCTGTGTGTCAATGGTGTGTTAAAGTCTCCTGTTATAATTGTGTTATTGCTTGTTTGAAATTACATTTATGTTAATGTTGATTTGTTTAGCTGGGTGCTCCAAAATTTGGTGCATAACTATTTAAGATTGTTATCTCTTCCTCTTGAAGTTTTCTCCTAACTAGTATGTAGTGGCCTTCTTTATTTTTTTGAATCATACTTGGTTTGAAATTCATATTATCTGCAAACAGAACAGCTACCCATTCTTTTTTGAGAGGTCCTGTTGCATGGAGTATTCTTTTCCATCCATTGATTTCAGCCTGTGAGTTTTCTTTTTGTTAGGTGGATTTCTTGTATACATTGTATGGTTGGATATTGCTTTTTGATCCATTCTGTCAGTCTCTTTTTTTTCATGGGTTAATTGAGGCCATTTACATTAATGGTTACAACTGATACATAATGGTTTACTTTTGATATATTGTCCTTCCACTGTTGATGTTTTGCCTTTCCAATCTGTTTGTTTGCATTGCTTAGTGTTTTTTTTTTTTTTTTTTTTTTTTTTTTTTTTTTTTTTTTTTTTTTTTTTTTTGCTATGCCTATCTAGAATGTCTTTCAGTATTCTTTTCAATGTTAGTTTGGTGGTCATGACATTCTTCAGCTCTTCTTTGTTGTGGAAGTATCATTTTTCTCCATCCATCTTCAAGAATAGTTTTTCAGGGTACATTAATCTGGGTGGGAAGTCATTTTCCTTTAGGATCTTAAATACTTCACTCCATGCTCTTCTTGACATTGTGTTGAGAAATCTGCTGTGATTCCTATAGGTTTTCCTTTATAGGTGATCTGTCTCTTCTATTAGCTTTTAATATTCTGTTCTTTTGATGAATTTCTGGGATGTTAATTATTATATATCTGGGTGTAGTTTCATTTTGGTTGTGGTTATTTGGAGTTCTATATGCTTCACTAATCCTGATGTCAGTTTCCATTCTTGTGTTTGGGAACTTTTCAGCTATTACTTCTGTAAATATCCTCTTGCTATCATTTGCATTATCACTTTCCTTTCTATTTATCCTTATCAATCTTATGTTGTTTTCTTTTGCATCATCTTGCAATTATTGAAATGTTATTTCCTGGCTGCTTGTTTTTTAAAAAGATCTTTCATTTCATATTCATTAGCTGCAACCTTGTTTTTAAGGTCTGAAATTCTATCTTCACTTTCATTGAGGCAGTTTTGCCACTTTTAGATGGAATTTTTCATTTCCTGTATATCTCTTTGAATCTGCTTCAGGAATTCTGTTTGTTTCTTATATTGTTCATTCAGAGTTTCCATACTTTTGCATTGTTCCTCTAATTTTTTAAACTATGTCTTCTTTAGATGTGTATAGCATTTCTTTCATTATATTTATCATTTCTTCTTTTACTTGGGAAACTATTTCTGGTTTAAGTTCTTTTCTGGTTTCCCAGAGTTGTTTCTTATATTTCCTTCTGTGTTCATGTCTCCTAGACTTGCTTGGCTTGGGCTGAAAGTATGAGATTGAATTTTGATATTTCATTTTGTTATTTTCCTAATTGTCTGGGTTTTTAGCTCTGTTTCAAAGCTTCCCCCATGCACTGGGAATCACCTAGCCCTCTTTTGGCTCCTGGGGCAGACTGCAGGCAACTGCTAGCCCCTTAGAGTTCCCATGGCATGGGCCAGTTAGGCCTATGTGGACTCCCATATGTCTTCCTGTGTTTAGGACATGATGCATGGCTTTCTTGTGTGCTGGGATTCAACCTGTGCATGTTCAGCACCCAAGACTGATTTCAGGTCCCTACTAGCTGCTTAGTGTTCTCTAGATATGGGCCAGTTAAGATCATGGGGTCTTCCCCTGCATCCTCCAGTGATTTCTGATATGGGTCATGGTCTTACAATCTGAGAGCAATGGACCAGAGCTTACCTGTGCACTGGAATTCAACCTGTGCACATTCAGGGCCTGGAACTGAATTCAGTCTCCTACCAGCTGCTTGGAGTTCACTGGACCTGGAACAGTAAGGCCTGTGGTGACTTCCTGTGTGTTCTTCAGTGATTTCAGATGTGGGGCATGGACTTAATGCCTGCGAGCCACATTCCAAGGCTTCCCTGTGTGCTGGGATTCAACCCATGCATGTTCAGGGACCGGGGCTCAATTCTGGCTACTTCCAACTGCTTCCATTTCACTTGGCATGGACCAGTTAGTCTAACAGAGACCTCCTGTCCATCATCCAGTGATTTCAGATGTGGGGCATGGTCTTATCAACTGGGAGTGATGTTCCAAGATTCCCTGTGTGCTAGAATTCAACCCACACATGCTCAGGAGCCTGGCCTGAATTCAGGACCCTGCCAGCTGCTAGAACTAAACTTTTAAATGTACCTTGAAATTTTAATTAAACACGAATTTTGCATAAATTATATTCACAATCGGAGAGGTTCAAAAATGGCATTATTTGACACTGGTTATTTTTATTCATATATATTTCCCTGAGACTTAGCAAATTAGGTTGGTTTCCTAATATGAAACTGCTCATTAAATAATATCCAAGGCAATCATTTATAAAGCTTTGATTTAGATACATATATCCTTTCTCAATTTAAAAAATAAAGATATACTGTTATGGATATGTTTGATTTAAAAGGATAACAATACCACTGCTAAGTGCTGCTGTTATTCTAGTTATTCACTCAATATCATTTAGGAGCTATTCTCTATACACATTCCTATGATTTTATTTCTATAAAGGAATGAAAAAATTGGATATCATGGCGCATGTCTGGAATACAGTATAAGGAACTGAGGCAATTGCCTTTTAAATCTGAGCAAAGGCTTGGCAGTAAAGTGACTTAAGGATATCTTATTTCAAGAAAATTAAATTTTAAATTTTATACAAGGAATATATGTGAGTGGAAAATTTGTGTTCAATCCTAAGTATTGAAAAAATACATAATCAACAAATAGTTATAAAGCAAAAGGATAGTTCAAGTCCATCTTGTTTTGGGTATGGGTCTCTGAATAACAAAGAAATCATAAAATTACACAAATGAAAAAGTTATTTTCTTCTAGATATGGAACAATGTATAAAGTGTCCAGAACATCACTATGCCAATGCTCAGCAAAATCATTGTCTTCAAAAATCTGTAACATTTCTGGCTTATGAAGATCCTGTAGGAAAAGCTCTGGCTGGCACTGCCCTGATTCTCACTGTACTCACAGCTGCTGTCCTTGGGATTTTTGTGAAGCACCAAGACACTCCCATTGTCAAGGCCAACAACCAGGCTCTCAGCTACACGCTGCTCATCTCCCTCATCTTCTGTTTCCTCTGCTCCTTGCTCTTCATTGGCCATCCCAACACAGCCACCTGCATCCTCCAGCAGACCACATTTGGAGTTGTGTTCACTGTGGCTGTTTCCACTGTCTTGGCTAAAACAATTACTGTGATGCTAGCCTTTAAAGTCACTACTCCAGGGAGAAGGATGAGGCAGTTCCTGGTATCAGGGGCACCTAACTACATCATCCCCATCTGCACCCTGATCCAATTCACTCTCTGTGCAGTCTGGATGGGGACAAATCCACCCTATGTTGACACAGATGCACACTCTGAACATGGTCATGTCATCATCATGTGTAATAAGGGCTCCCTCACTGCATTCTACTGTGTCCTGGGATACTTAAGCTCCCTGGCCCTGGTCAGCTTCACTGTGGCTTTTTTGGTGAGGAATCTGCCTGACACATTCAATGAAGCCAAGTTCCTGACATTCAGCATGCTGGTGTTCTGTAGTGTGTGGGTCACCTTCTTTCCTGTATACCACAGCCGCAGGGGGAAGGTGATGGTGGCCATGGAAGTCTTCTCCATCTTGGCCTCCAGTGCAGGGCTGCTGGGCTGCATCTTTGTTCCTAAGTGCTACATTATTTTGTTAAGGCCAGAGAAAAATTCTCTGACTGAGATCAGGGGCAGAACACATTTTGTGAGAAAGAAATAATTTTACCATTAAACATGTTTGTTTCCTGAAATAGAGTGAACCTGAAGTGAATTGGAACCATATTTGAATTCTTATAGTCCACTATTTTTAGGAGTTATATCCATAAGAATGGATTCTCTTTTTTTCTTGTAGTATAGTAGTTACTGTTAACTATAGTCACCATCTTTATAATTTGAATTTCATTCTAAATATTTTTTGTTTCCTCTTTTTAATAATGTAATTCACCTTATTGTTTTTATTGTGATTGTGCTATTTTCTTTAATCTTGTCTTCCCTTTCATTTTTGCAATGATTTCCTAACTTTAAAAGGTAGGTTAGGGATTTATCTCAGTGTATAAGTGCCTCCCTGCAAGCACGAAGTCATGAGTTCAATCCCTGGTAAAAACTACAACAAAAACTCATAAATACTTTTCTCTAACTCACAGTGTTTCTCAATCTTGTAATATATTTCATTACTTTTTTTTTCCTTTTGAAAAAAGTATGTCACATTCTATGTGCTAAATCTGGCATATTTTGATCATTCTATGTATACTTTTCTTCTTACACTTGACTCTGTTATGTTAATTACATTGATTTTCTATCTTTTGGAGGCAACATTTCACTGAGGAGTTCAGGCTGGCCTTGAATCATTGTAGCCCAGTCTGGCATCAAACTCATTCTTAAGGATCTTGAGGCAAGAAGCATCTTAAGGATCTTACAGGCAAGAAGCATCAACCAGGCTAATTATTATATTTTTGAAACATCTGAATCTCACATGGCTTTTAAGATTCTAGAAGTGGCTCCTCAACTACAAGTACAAATCTCTTGATTATATGATGCCAATGTACTGAATTTATAGAATGATTTGTGGAAGAACTTGTAGAATTTCAATAGAAACTTTTCCTTTCCCAGATTAATATTTCCACTTAACTTTGTTTAATCATATTTTACTCATCACATCCATGCATATGTATTATGTACACTTGCATTTTAGTATGTATGCAGTAAAATTTTCTTGTCATGTTCATACCCAGATATTTTTAAAGGTGTTTTGATAATGTGATAGGGAATGGTTTCCCTGCATATTTCCTTTACTATATATCTATGTATGAGTTCATACTAATGCTTACATATGTGGATTTTTCTGGGCATATTGATACACACATGTGATCCCCACACTGCTGGACAATGAGGCTGGAGATCAGAAGTTTGACCTCAACCTGGACTACTGAGAGATTTCTGAAACTTCTGCCTGAAAAATAACATCAAAAAAATTCTGTGGGCTTAACTCACTCTGTGCCCATACCAGATTTAATTTCTGAATCATTTTTCACTTTTAAATTTAAGAATTCCATTAATATTGTTGAGTAATTGCTTCTGATTAAAAATACTCTTGGTCACAGGGCTCAGATCTCTGACACATTTCAGACTATACTTGAATTCAATATTGGTATCTATGTTAAATTAAAGAGACTATACTCCTTCTTTGTATTGGATTTTTGTGTATGCATGTGAAATGAATACTGTTCCATAAATAAATGGATTGAAAAAGTGGTTATAAGGATGAGTGGATGGAAGCATGGAGATAAAGGAGGACCCGCAGACAAGGGCACGGTTTTTCAGATTAAGTCCCAGGTAACCAAACTCCTGCCAGCTCCCCCTAGATAACTGCACTGATTTCATTGAAGGATGAATCTGTTGATGAACACAGGTCTCCATGAAGTAATTCCTACAGAACACAAGATTTTGAGCAACACAGCAGAGAAGTTTTTGGAAAAATGGAGTAGGGTGTAAAGAAAAATTTTTGATTGATAATTTGGCATGAGAAAAATATTAGACCCTCTGAACTATAGTTTACAACTGTGCACAGAAGGAGATAAAAATCTCCACATTTTTACAAATTTGGACTGGAATATTTGAAAGGAAAATTGATTCACTTAAGTCACAACTCCTAGAAAATAGCCCAAACTGTGATTTAGGATCCAAACTTGGCAGTTCCTTCTTGCCCAACCTAGACTCTTCCTGGCCCATACCTATATCTAAAGCATCATGGCTGGCAAAGTGTACCTTTGATTTAAAGTCCTGACTATTCTCAAAGTTGTTTCTGTCAAGAGATGACATTCAACTGATACTCGTAACAACTGATGAAATGATTTAATTTTAATTCTCTTAAGTAGGATTGTTTGCTGAGTTGAAAACTGTGATAGTAAACTGAAAGTAAAAAAGAGTATCCTAAAGCCTTTACATGGCATTCAGAGAAATAACACATATTGCAATCCATCCTTTCACATCTGTTTCATGTAGATCAGATTAGGATGGAAATCTAAGGCTTAGAGAAATGCAGTGACTTTTCATGCAAAGCCAGAATGCCAACCCAGAATTTGTGGGTGTTCAGCTGACTTCCTCCCCACCTAACCTAAGATTTACTCTAAGACAGATACTCAGTCACCTGTGGCATCTCACCCATCCAGGTATTTCCTGAAAAACATTACAGAAGTCTCTTGTGAGTTATCTGTGAGGATGGTAGTTAAGTACCTTGTGAGTTATCTGGGTGGATGATAAGGAGACATCTGTGTCATTCCTGCTAAAAAGGCATGGGAAGGGGCCCAAAATCTCAGCTCATAAAAGATATGACCATGTCTTCTAAAATGCTCACTACTTAGAAATTAGCTCACTTTAGAGCAGAAAAATGACCATGAGTTGTGGACATCATTCTCCCAGATTTACAGATGTGGACATTGAGACCAAATGATACAAGGTTGGCTGAAAGCCTTCAAATCCAGAGAGCATGTCTCAAGCCTGACCAATGTCCTATCTCAAAGTCATGGTGTTCAATCCTCATGACTCCCTCCCCACACTTCTTCCCAAGGTTTGACACAGGATTGTTGAGTGAATCTTAGGTTGTACTCACACTCCTGGGCCCTCAGAAAGAGATGCCTACTCTGGGGATGCAGCCAGCCTGGAGGAATGTCTTCCTCTCTCTTGCTCAGTAGAGGTAAAAACTGCATGAAACTTGTCCACCCCCGCCCCACACACACACGCACTTCTGATCCAATCAACATGAACCTAGTCCCTCTCCTCAACTGTCATTTCTCAAACACTTGTGTCTTTAGGCACAGTTCTGGGGGCTGGGAAACCAGGATGAGGGATTCAGACATGGCCTTGATTTTAGAATGGAAAGGACAAGAAGAACAATTCACTCAGTAATAGGTGAACTCTCTGGAGTTCACAACACAGGACAGAAATGGAAGCAGGAGAATCTGGGGTGGTGAATACAGAATGACAACTAACAATGGAGCTGCCTCTGGGGAGAGTGTTCCAAGCCATGGATAGAAGAAATAGTGACTCTGATAGATGTGGCCTTTGGGGAAGCAGCCGAGCCACGGGTCTAGGGAGAAGCTGAAGCTATGCGGAGAGCAATGATGCACATTGCTGCTTCTCTATGCTTTCCTGGTAGATGCCGCTCTTGTCTCCAAAGTCAGAGAACGGACTCCCAGAGACATGACTATAAACCCTTAGGGTCTTCCTACAGTGAGAGATTCAGCAGTGTTTTCAAAGGTCCCCAGTGAATCAGCAATAAAAGTTTCTGTAATGAGGTTAATAGCACCAAAATGTTTGTAGAATTAAATGAAATCATTTATATAACACATACACTGTCTGGCTTAGCATCATTGAGATAAATAAAGAGTTACTACATTTTCTATTGTCCTCTTAGAACTCAGCACAGTTGTGATAACTTGCTGCTGAAAACACTACATGGATAAGGACTGACATCATTTGAAGCATACAGCATTCACCTTCCCTTAGGGATTATTTCCTCCTTGTGATAGGTTTCTTTATTTAGAGGGCTGTTATCACGCTGGTCTAATTTAACTTCCTCAACAATGAAGCCATCCTATTTCTCCATTAATTTGGAAAAATAGTTTGGAAAAGCAAATCAAATTGGGATAGAAGTTGTTTTCTTTCAGATTTGAAACACATTATTTAAAGCACTTCTTGATTTGAGGGCTTCTGTTGGGAAGTCAGCCATAATTCTAATTACATTTATTGGTGATCTGTTTCTTTTCTGTAACAGACTTTAATAATTTTTGGTATTAATGTCTGGGATATTGATTTTAAGTATTTTTCTATTGTGCTCAACTTTGAAAATACCATGAGTACTGCAAATCTATACTCAAGGAGCAGCAAGTTGGGGATCTATGAAAAAACAGTTGCTAAATGGAAGAATCAGGAGTTCACTTGGATTTTTGGTAGAACAAATATCAAGATTATTGAACAAACAAACCAGGGAGATTAGACATCATCTGTTAGAAGGTGGGAGATGAGGGGCCTCACTGAATATCACAGGTGATTGGATATAAATGATGGAGGACTCTTGATAAACTACCTTGTGTTTTCCTAAATCTGGATTTTCCTATGAAGTATATAGTTGAACCTGAGATAAGTTTCAGAACTCTGACAAGTTGTGCTGAGCATAGTGCGGTTGCCATTCCATGCCTCTTTCTAAGTGTCTGCAATTTATTAATATGGTGTCTATTATTAGTCTCCAGCACTCATTTTCATCTTGCGATGAAACTCTATATGCTATCTGAAATAATGTTTCCATTTTCCTTTCTCCAATCACTGGAATCACCTATTCTATTTCTTTTATTAATAGATTTGTGTACTGCAGACACTTCATATGAAAATTACCATGTAGTTTTTTGTCATTTGGTGACTGGTTTGCTTTTTGTTAACACAGTATGGTAATTCCATGCCATGTCATACCATGTGTTGGAATTTATTTCTCTTTAAAGGAAGAAAATTACCCTCATTCAAGGTTTTTAAAGACACAAAGAATGTAGTAATATGTACTGTTTATAACAAATATGCAGTAATCTAAAAAGAAAACAGTATTGATGGCAAACAAAATCCATGGTAACTCTGGAAAATATTTCTCAAAATAAAAGAAATCACACATAAAAGTCCATGTACTTTTCTGTAGAATGTGTAAATCCCATAGGTAAATCCTACTACATTCTG